AAAGTATCATTTTGGAAACGGCAGCATCATTTGATACATGGATTTGGCATGTTTTTTGGGTGTTCCAAGTGCTCAAAATGACCTCAATGTCCTTGCCCAATCTTAAGTGTTTGACGAGGTGTTGCAAGAAATATCATCGAAAGTCACATATTGGGTCAATGGTACTAAGTACGACGGAGCATAGTACTGAGTAAATGGCATTTACCCAAGGTGGACATCGTTTTTCCAACAAGTAAGCGATTGGTTGAGGTTTTTCCAACGACCTTGAAGACCTTGACTCGTTCTTGTGTTGCCAAGCTTCTTGCAAAATGATGTAGTAATTTTACTCCAAAGTTCTCGCAACTGCATCTCATTACCCTTAATCGGGTCATGAATAGCTTGAACCTAGCATTCACACAACTTAACATCTTCGATGACTGTCCAATTAGCCATTTTTTGCACACAAAAGTATATGAAAACTTTGCTTGAAAGTGTTGAAAATATTGAAATGTGGTGTAAGGTGGAAGATGATGGTTAGGTATTTATAAAATAAATAAATAAATTTCATTTTATTTTTCTATATTTTTAAACAATTTTTTTAACAATTTTTATTAAGTTAATTAATCTGGACCATTGGATTCAAAAAGATTGAAATCCAAGTGCCCAAAATTGGACACGTGGCCAACGGTAAGATTTCTGACATTTTTTTAAAAAGTTTTTTGTTGAAAAAGCTAGATCGTTGATCTGTAAATCGAATGGTCCAAATTTTGCCATGTCACTAGCTGTTTGATTTCAAATTCAAAGTTTTTTTACCGTTGGAAATCCAATGGTCCAGAAAATTAATCGTTCGAAATCCAACGGCCACCAAGTCGCACTTCCACTTAGTGTGCCTGCAGCGCAGGCCTACCCCTTTGCATGCTGTTGAGAACGCGCGCCCATTGGCGCGTGTTTCCCACATGCCTGGCGTAAAAGAAAATATCTTCACGTATCTGACGTCATGCTAGCATCAGCTCGACGTCAGATGGGCTGGTTACTGGGTCAGTCCGTTCTTAGCTGGGTAAATGGCTGGCCTCCACCGAAGCCCAGCCAAGGTCTAAAATATGGATATTATCGGCGAAATATCGCCGATAATATCATTTTTTTTTAGATGGCGATATTTTCACACATATCCACTTAATTATCGTCAATATATTGTGATAATATCGCCGAGGCTCCGTAGTCGCAACTGCAGCCGAGGCTCTGGCATCGCAGCTGCTAAGATATGCGCCTCTCTCTGCAATCCACGCTCAGACCCATCAAAATGAGCAATCCCTTTTCTCCAGATCCCAAAACCCGCTTAGGTTTGATGGATCCTCTGCGTCGTACGACCTAAACAAGGCATCCCCTTACCTGATGGTGCTCGCCGGGAGGTGAGAAAGGAAGGATGAACGGTCCACAGGTGGTGATGGTGCTTGTCGAAGTGTGCGCCACTGTGGTGGAGGTCACGGTGGGGTGTGGGTGTGGTGTGTCTGTGCTCCGGGAAGGAGAGTTGCAGAGATGTGGGGAGAAAAAACAAGGAGATGAATGATTAAATAAACAAACAAACAATCGGATGGAAAATCAAAAATCAAAAATCAAAAGGGGATTTGGCAGGGTGTTATTCACTGAGCCTAGTTATTGTTCAAAGGCGAAGCGACTCAACGTTCCTGCACAAAATCTACCTCCTCATTCTTTATAAAGAACATAAAACCCTAAAGATCCAGATTAATGGGATCCAAGGCTTTATCAAGAGGCGCACGATAGCGAACACCACAATACTTTCTCTCCATTTTTATTTCGAAAACCCAAAAAATAAAATAATAAATAACAGAGAGGGAGGGGAGGGAAGAAGGTTGTGTTTAGATACTGGAATTTTTAGGAAGGATTAGGGTTGTGGGGATATGAAATGGTTGAGGTTTAAACTAAGAAAAGCCCCTTCGTGTTAGTGATATTACGAATGAACCATTACATTTGGCTCACTTGGATTGGATCCAACATAAATAGCCCAATTTAGGAACTGCAAACCCAAAACTTCCTAGACCTTATTGGGCCTACAGATAAAAAGAAGAAGACCAAAGCCTAAACATTTGTGGAAATAAAGTAAAGTAAAATATACCTGCCACCTAGAATCTGATTACGATGGAATTTATTGAGCTACAACAGTAACCAGATGATGTGATAGTTTTTGGTTGTCTATTTTATTTTTCATGAGGATATAAAATGGTACAATCCAAATTAGATACCGTTTGAAATATCAAATGTGTTCTTTACCAAAAAAAAAATATCAAATGTGTTGTTAGTTTTACTTCTAAACCCTCTATATACAAATAATATACAGTAAACATACTCAAGGCTCGTCTAGTAGCCACATTGGACTATTCAGATTTGATATCCTTTTGAAAGATAGTAATTCTCTTTGAATATTTTTTTTAACAAACGAGATAGTGTTAGTGAGTTAAATTACTAGTTGGTAAGGTGAAAGAGGGGCTTAAGTGGGTATCAAACTCGCACAAAAATGTATAGGCATAATTACTTTTCTTCATTTAAATCACATTGTAGTTGATACAAACGAGATAGTGTTATGTCTATCATTGTAGTTTCCTTTAAATTACATTTAACAAAAAGTCAATGGTATATTCAAGAGAGAAAATAAGGGAATTAACTGTTAAGAAAATAAAAGTCAAATATATTAATAAGCCATAACAGATGCTAGTATCTCTTTTTTTTTTTTATGGAAAGAAAATGGGGGAATAAACTTGTTTTGGTAAGTCAGTTTATGCTACTAATTGGAGGTTTAAACTTAATCAAATCAAACCCTAATGCATCATTAATTCAATAATTACCACCATCTCATATCAATGTGGTAAAAGCAAGATTCAGATATTATTGTGAGAATTATTAACATCAAAAGCAAGATTCAGGTAGCCATCATGATCAAGTGGACATATCCATCGTCATGTCTCCTGCTATTCAGAAAATTTAATCAATTAGTGAAGTAGCTAGAATCTCAACATACCATGTAAGATTGAAATAATACACAAAGAGACTGCCAATAACTATGGTTATACTCATAACCAACCATTTCCCTACCCTTCATATCCCATTCCTGTTGGGATGGAATTGAGCGACTCATGAAAAAAATCCGAGACTCAATCTTCAAATGATTTTGCTTATGGATAACGTCAACCAATCTCGGATCCATATGGGTGGTATGTTAACAATTACATGTAAAACTATTTTGGGGATTTATCATTTGATGACTACTCTTCACAATACACTTACTCTACACATAGAGATGATGAAGATAGTGAAAATTTTGAACCTCATAAGAACTCTATGTGGTTGTAGACATCGAAATTTCGATAAATAAATGTTGACCGATAAATCAAAGTTTCAACGCTCATGTATTACATAAATTTTACACGTAGCGTGTGTCTAAACAAAAAATCGAAATAAGTTAGAAAAGTCATCAAACAGGACACGTGTCAACACCTGGCAGAAACAACTGATTTCATCTGGAATATTATATTCAAAATTAGGCCTTGGAAATTTCTATAAATAGAAGGCTAATTCATTCATTTGGGGGAGGAACCAAAATCATTAGGCAAAATTCTTGAAGCTCTGAAGCTCTGAAACTTCGAAGCTCTCAAGCATCCAGGTTCCCGAATAATCAAGAAAGCCTTCTTCGTTCTTCGTTCATCGTTCTTCCAAGATCAAGCCCCGACGGCCCTTGGATCAACAATCATCCACCTTCAAGATCAAGCCCCAACGGCCCTTGAAGAAAGCCTTCTTCGTTCTTCGTTCATCATTCATCCAAGATCAAGCCCCGACGGCCCTTGGATCAACAATCATCCACCTTCAAGATCAAGCCCCGACGGCCCTTGAAGAAAGTGTTCTTCGTTCCTCGTTCATCGTTCTTCCAAGATCAAGCCCCGACGGCCCTTGGATCAACCATCCACCAATTCAAGAACAAGCCCCAAAGGCCCTTGAAGAACTTCTACCAATTCAAGATCAAGCCCCGACGGCCCTTGAAGAAAGCACCATCGTTCATCATCCGTTCATCCAAGATCAAGCCCCAATGGCCCTTTGGATCAACAACGTCGACAAATCCACACATCCAACCGTTCTTCAAGATTAAGCCCAAAAGCCCTTGAAGATCCGTTCATCACTGTTCTTCAAGATCAAGCCCAAAAGCCCTTGAAGATCCGTTCATCACCGTTATTCAAGATCAAGCTTTAACGGCCCTTGAAGAAACATTCATCCTCAAGATCAAGCCCCAACGGCTCCTTGAAGATCTGCTCAAATCCACCTTCAAAGATCAAGCCCACGACCCCTTGAAGAAACTTCCAACAGTTCATCCAAGATCAAGCCTCAACGGCCCTTGGATCAACGAAACATCCACAAATCAACACCTTACGGAGATCGAATCAGAGGATCAAATTTGAGAGAGATTGTAACCCAAAATCATCAAAATACAAATATTTGTTTGTGCACGTTGTTCTTGTCTCTTTCGTTTCAGGAAATTTTCGTGTTCACAGTGGTACTAAGTCACTCATGTATCTTACCATGCAATGTATAAAGTGCAAAATATTGTACTAATTCATTATATATAAATGATTATGGTGTGTTTAAACTTCTTTCATTAATTACTACATATTTTCTATACTCAAAATGTTTGTCAGCTCGCTATATAATCAACTTAAATCAATTAAATCAATCATGCAATGCATTTCTTTCCAATTTTTTGTGAGAAACTAATAGATAATTGACTAAATAAACATCCTGCAAAATTTTAATAAAAATTTCCAAGTTTTTCTTACAATTTCTGTGGTTTTTATTCAATTTTTATTGATATCGATAATATCCTGATATTTCCATCGAAATTTTTGTGTTTTTAGACTACCGATATTTTCGATATCATCAATATTTTAGAGCCTGAGCCCAGCTAATTGGATGGGGTGGAGTGGGCTTTTGGCGGGAGGTGGAAAAATGGGCTGTTGCCCTGCTTATTGGTGGAGGGCTGGAGTTGCTCTAAGAAGAGCGCCGCTCTCATGCTCAACCAAAAAGCTCGAAAAACCCAACAGATAGAGAAGGGCAGAGAATGGAAGACTCACTAGCAAAACTAGAGCGAATCCAAACCCAAATCATCGAACGCATATCAAAGCTTGAGCTCTCCACCTCCGCTTCTCTTCAGCAATTCACCGCTACCCCCATCCCTACCTCAACTCAAAACGCCGCCGTCAGCGCCAACGAAGCCCGCCTCTCCGCCATTCTCCTAGCCAATGACGTAAAAAACTTCGCCTATAAGAGGGTTCCCTCCGATTACTACGATTGGTCTCTCGACGCCCGGCGCGACGCTCTCGGCGCTGCCTCAATCCACCATCTCTGCAAAAGCATTATCTTGGTAGTTGGTACCCAACTCAATCTTTTTCTTGTCTTCGTTGACTTAACTCTAATATCGGAAATGATTTTGTACCTCAAACGAAATACCCCATTTGTAAATTTTGATTTGTTTAGTCCGACCTTGCTTGCATTCCCCCCAATCCAGTGTCGTTGATTGTAGTGACAGCAACAATTCAAAATACTATGTTGTTGTCTTTCAGGTACTTATAGTGTATTTTTTTGTCGGTATGTTTTTAATCGAAACAATAATAATGCTGTTGTGTGAGGTATGTGAAATTTGGACCCCTTTGTTTTTGGGTGCAGTACACTGCTCGGTTTAATGCTGAAGCTGTTAAGAACTTCTTGTATTCGCTCAACGAGGGCAAGATAGCGAAAAAGAAATTCAACTGTCAGTTCTTGGTCTCTTGATAATCAGTAACTTGTTGATAAGTTCTCGATTACTGAGTTTATATACTTCAAAATGTTTGCATATTGAGCTGTTAAGTTCCTTCTATTTTTTGGTGTGAAATTCTGATGAGTGCATTATGTAATTTGTACAACCATGGAGAATTCCTACTGTCAATTAGGTAGCAAACTAGCAATGTGAGTTCATAGGAGGTGTCATGTTTAGAGTCTAGTGATGGTAACATTGCATCTTTTATGCAAATGCATAATGTGCAATTGAAAGTCGGAGCAAGCACAGGTTATGAACAATGACAATATACAATGTGATTTTGCGGTAGGTGTTGTAATGTGTTTAAACACTGATGTACCAATTTATGCACCTTCTTGTTTCATGACATGTAATGGTATTAGGCTATAATTTTTCATGTCCAAGTTTTCTTGATATGGCAATCTCAGATTCCTCCCATTTCTTCCTTTACTCTTTCAAAAAAGTTGTCCCAACTTTTCGCACTTCTTGAAAACCTATTTTCCAAAAGATGGTTTCCAAGATTTTATCTGTGCATATATCAAATAAATATTCCTTCGGCTTGAGCATACTCCTTAAGTCCATGGAGTGTGTTCCAATGTTATAGGAGAACATTTCTTCACAACACTTGTCGGACAGGTTGAAAAAATAGAAAAGTTGTTACAATCGTCCTTTTTCATTTCTATGCATCCTTTTTCTTTTCAATAATAGTCTGGAAGTGTGCACATATTTTTGGCAATTTTGGGCTTTTCTGGTCCAACTGTTCTTGAGATGGATTTATGCATGGTATTCTTAGAGTCCACCAATTTATTTCTTCATTCTCTCAAAGATATTTGGTCCAGCTTTTGCATTTGATCTTCTTGGAGCCTACTTTTCAAGAAAATGTTTTCCACGATTTTTATCTGTGTGTACATTGAATCAAATATGCTTTCTGTTTGAGCCTTCTCCTTAACCCATGGAGATGTGTGCCATTGTTACTTAATGGATAACATTTTTCCATAACCCTCTTTTGCCTGATGGACAGTTGATTAAATAAACAAAGAGTTAGTCCAACTCCATTCCATATTAGTTTTCAATACTGTTGTTTTACTCCCGTGACTATCTTTCTTTTTCATATCTGCTGTACCGTTAGAACGGCTGCAGTGTTAGCTTTTCGCCCAACTGTTTTTGGCACGGCTTTGTTCATAATCTTCTCAATTTATCCCATTTCTTCCTTCACTCTGAAGGAACATTGGTCCAACTCTCTGCACATGATTATTCTTAGCAACCTTTTACCTAAGAAAATTAAATCCATCCCGTTTGAGCCTTCTTAAACTTATAGGGACATATTGCAACGGTATTGGTTAACTTTTTTCCTTAACCCCTGTTTGAGTCATTGGACAGTTGAGAAAAAAAAAAAGAGTGTTGGTCCAACTTCATTCTTTTTTTCTTTTGTATTACTCCTATTATATTTCCATAAACCATCCTCTCTTTCATTTTGTTTAAATATATTGAAAATATGCTTCAAACCTCAAGGAATGAAAAATAAAAAATAAAATAAAATAAAATAAAAAAGGTTTTCCAGAATTAGCTGCTTTGGATTTTCTTTCTGTTCCCCCTTGTCCTTTAAAATGAGATCTTCAATTGTATATAGTTTTCTTAATTTATTGTATATTTCAGAAGGTGATAGTGGTTGTTATTGGGTATGCATTGAGACTTGCACCTGAGGATAAATCAATAGAATTGACTGGATTTGAGCACAATGCAGTTACATGTGTTGGCATGAAAACAGACATTCCGGTGAGCACGTGTTTCTTGCAATTATTTACTATGTATTTCGTGTCCTCTGGAACTGGAATTATTTTTTATGTTCTTATGCTACGGGAATTTTTTCTGCTTGACATGATACTTCAGATCCTTTTCCTCTGATATATCTGTGCCTTGATAATTCAACTTTGTGTTAACTGATGTACTCAGAAGTCCGGTGTTATCAATTAGAGTGAAACTGGGATGGTTCCCTTGGTTCCCATATCTAGATTATTTGTTCATTTGCTCTTTTAAACTCTTCTCTAACATGCTCTTGGTCTCATAAGCTTATATAAGGATCTTGTTTTTATATTAGATTTGGAATCATATTTTTGGAATTTTACTACATTTATAACCATCACATTCTTTACACAACACCTGTACTGTCTGGTGTTCTTGAGATAAACCACCTCAGTGTCTTTTCATTATAGGTTAAGGTCTACCACACAGGCCCCCGAGGTTCAATTGCCTGGAGCCCTGTTTATAGATTCAATCCTTCCAACTTTCAGACCAGCTGTTCGGCTGGTCCATTGTCTTGGTTGTCATGATTAATGATTTTCTCCCAGTCTGTTAGACAAAAAACTGATTGATACTGGGAGGTTAGAATTCTGTTGCAAGGTTTGACAGACAACAAACGACCTTATGTGTTGTTTTCACATGCATTAGTGTTGGGAGCGGCAGACATATAATGTTTGAAATATGTAGAACTTGAACCAAGTGGGTATTCGCATTCCTAACATGGGCCATATAATGTATCGTGTACTAGAAAAGATCGCAATGACAGAACACTATGAAATGACACCATAGTGATTGTTTGTGACCACTGACACCTCACCACACATTTTAATAAGCGTAAGACAAGAACATCTTGTTGGTTTTGCTGTTCTTATAGTGATGATGTACAGGTTTTGTTTCAGGTGATTTTGGATGAAGCAATTGAGAAACTTAATCCCGATTTCTTCTGGTTGGGCGGCGGCGAGGTTGATCTGAAGCTGGGCATCAGAACCTCAGAATTTATAAACTTTGCTAAACCTTTTATTGTGAGCTGCAGTAGTTCTTGATTTATCCAAAGAAACTAGAATCAAAATTTATAAAAGAATACATTATCAAATAAAACCCATGAATTGATTAACTGCTTTGGTTGCTATCTTGTAGTGTTTTTACTCCTGCCGATGATCGATTCATTTCAAACAGATTGAGTCCCATAACTAATGTAGTTTATGTATAGAGCAGGGGCTGGTTTCCTTGCAGATTTTATGAATAGCTACTGCTTTTCTCCCTGCCATTTTTAACGAAAATGTAATGTGGAATACATTTAGTGCATGGACATGGACATCCATTTTCCAGCCAATTTGTGCAGTGTGGTTAATTGGAAAATTGGAAAAGATGTGATGGGTTGCTACTAGCTACTGATAAACTGCAATGTGAAAACTGCCATAACTACAATCACTGAATGGACAAACTTATTAACAGGTAAAAGCGTCTATGTTTTTGGTGTCAGTTAATACTATGGTCTAGTGGTATTCCTCTTTACTTGTAAGTAAGAGGTATTTGGTTTGATTTTCACCAAAGACGAATTTAAATCATATTATTGCAGTTGATTCTCACCAACTGCCATAACTACCATCTTGTAGAACAATCACTGAATGGTCAAACTTATTAACAGGTAAAAGCGTCTATTTTTTTGTCAGTTAGTATTGTGGTCTAGTGGTATTCCTCTTTACTTGTAAGTGAGGGGTCTTCGGTTTAATGTCACCAAATGTGAATTTAAACCATATTATTGCTGCTAGCCCATTGTGAGACTTAGTCTACTCTCTCATCCCTTTAAGAAAAACGTACATTTTCTTTGCAAATTTTCATTTCACTTTAAGGGTTTTTTGAAATTCTATAAATAGTTGTCTTTCATTTCTTTGAGCAAATGGCTCTCTATTAGTTGATAACGGAACCAACCACGTGATTTGTCGTCGTTTTAGAAGGGGAAGTATTGATTCAGGAGAAGCTGAAGCTCCTTAATAACTAGGTTTTGTGTGGTGCAAGCATGGCTTCAACATCACTTAAGAAATGAGTCTTACGTCATCGATTTAGTGATTGACCAGACATTCAAATAGGCACGCATAAATTGATTGATATGATAAATTTCTTGTGTAGAGCAACAACAATAATGTTTTATTCCATTAAATGAGGTCGGTTGTATGAATTCTAGAACATCATTGCGCTTGGTTTTGAGTCAAGTCGTCTATTAACTCCAAGTACTTCATGTATTTTCTTAAAGTCTATTTCCAAGTCTTCATCTACCTTTTTTATCTTGAGCCTCTATCTCATGATCGTAGTTTTTAACTGAAGCATTTGTAGGTCATTGCATTTTCATGTGTAATGTGAAATTTTAAAATTTGAGGTTCATTTTGAAAAATGGTTCCAAATATGAAGAGTGTGAATGTAGTTAGCCAAAGTACCGACCATGACTACACAAAGGGCTGTGACACATCCATATAATATGTTTCACCTTTGATTACAATCATTTATGAAACTATCGACATAAAAACATACAGAAACAATGAGAGGAGCCATCATCCATCAAATCACCATTTTGTCACTACTCACTAGTGGACACTTTTTTTTCTTCTTTTCCAAGGTTTTGCAAAAGACCCCACTATATTGGTTTTCTTAAGCGCTTGCTAATTAGTAAAAATTAAAGGGTAAATTCATCAGAGAAGTAGATCATATATATAATATGTCTACGACTTTTCGTTGTGAATGGGTGGTTTCCTGTGAGGTTGTGCATAATCCATAACACCTACGTCCTCCGTAGCTTCGTTTCCTTTCGGATCTTTATCTTCCTCCATCTGATCATGCAGTGTAGCAGATCCCAGTAACGTCCTTGTCTGCCTCTCCAATCCCTATAACATACAACATCGATCGTTCATATCATATATAATGAATTTCCATGTGAATATTTGATGATAAATACGCGCGCACACACCCATATATATATTATCTTCTCTTAATTATCAGACTACAAGGAAAGCTATCATATATTAGTTTGTTAGACAGGGAATCTATATTGCGGCAACTATGTTGACTCTTGTCTTAATGTGTATGTGGTCCAAATTAAATATTTGTTTGATGAAATAAGTCTAATAAGAGAACATTACGTTATGTTGTCATGTTGCTGCAAAACCGAGTTTACAGTACTGATTTTCTTCTCATCCCAATTATGTTATGTATGCATGTATGCCATGCCACCAACGACTATATGTAGCGTGCATGCATAATTTGACCACATGCACTGATTTCCTCACAGGGGACAGTGGCGGATCCATATAGGGACCAAGGTGGTCCTAGGACCACCCGGATGCCAGAAAAACGCCTATGAAGATCCTTCGGGGACCCTCCAAATATTACAATAGGGAGGACAGATTCATGCTTAGGACTACATGGGCTACGCCTAGGAAATTTATTTTGTTAAATGACATAGTTATGGATGGACCGTGGTACAATCAAAATTCTGGTGCACTGCATCCATGGAGGAGGTAGAGGAGTTGCAGCTTTCCCGCAAGGAAGAAGGTTGAAACTCCTTTTTTTTTCTTCTTTTATCTGCTACATAGGCTTACCATTACTACTAAAATATGACCTTTAAAAAGCACTTTCTCATCTACTATTCTATTTCTTATTATTTTATTTTTAATTTTTATAATCTCTATGTGTTTTTTTTTTTTTGGTTAAATCTTTATTGGGTGAAATGGTTAAAGGCGCGGTTTTTTGTTGTGAATCCTATTTTATGTGCCAAGAATCCCGTATTTTGTAAATTACATCTAAATCATTTTTTTTCATAGAAATAAGATTTACTTGAATTGTATACTCTATCTCTACTAATACAATAATACTACATGATCTTAATAGGAACCATTACCTTTATTTCTATTTAACAAAAGAAAAACTTTTTTTTTCTTTTTCCGTAAAATTGTGAAAAGTTATCAAAGTATTTACAATTTTTTTTTTTGAACAATTGATATTATCTACACTAAGAGGGAAGGGGTGGGTTTAGCCTCACAATGAGACAGCAATAATATGGTTCAAATTCGCCTTTGGCGAGAATTAAACCTAAAACCTCTCACTTACAAGTGAAGAAGAATACTACTAGACCGTAGTACTAAGTGGCAAGTATTTACAAATTAGAGGGATTTTATTCATGATGACCTAGCTTTGTTTTTACCATGATTTATGAATGAAAAAAATATTATTATTTAGTTTTTGTAAGTTTATCATTTATTTCTTTTTTTGGACGTTTTACATTGGGTGGTTAGGATCACCCAATGTAAGAATCCTAGATCCGCCACTGAGGGGACATATGGTCATGAAGTACTATACATGACCACTTGCACTATTAGGCATCACTCTAACAGAGATCATACAACAAACCAATCTAAAAGACAAACTACTACTATGTACGTACCTTCACTTTAATCGATTTCTTCTGGTGAATCTGAGAAAATGTAAAAATATCCTGTGCTGCTAATAACCACCATACCATCATCATCAACAACAGATATAACATACATAATAACAATACAAATATTGGGAAATAATTTGAGTTTTTTTCCGTTTTCTTGGAATGTTTTATCTTTCGTGGTTAATAATTCAATAAGATTTTGTTAAAAAAAAAATCAATAAGATTACTTTCGAAATTTTTTATAAAATTAGGTGCATTAAAACTTGATTAATTCGAAGATAGATAAGAACCTGAAGTTGGTCCAAAATTAACATGTCCTTGTTTCCTCGAACCATCATCGTTTGGAATACTCTCAAGGGTGGGTACTGTTTCAGCGTCTTTCACTTCTACTTCTTTTGATTGGAACTCTACTGAGATGGAAGGCCTCGTCGACGACATTGAAGTCTCAGAACGTCTTAAGACATTCCCAACATCCTGCACCAAACCCTAAAATAGTTAGGCCTCTTTCAATACTACACAACTAATAAAAATCCGCTCAAATATTGCATGCAAGCTACGTTCTGTCACATTTTTTCAAGAGCATTTCAGGTAGCTATATATTTCAGTAATTAGATGAGGCTTTTTTTTTAGTACAACCAATATTTTACATTAATTTATAGTAGGGGGAGAATTTGAACCCAACTCGAGACGTAATAAATTAAAGAGAAATGTCCTAACCACCAGAACAATCTACCATTTACAATTATATGAGATTATGATGACCGTTTTTGTTGGTTTAATTAGTTTAATCCCATCAGTTATCTGTTTCATGTGTATACATGTGTGTGTGCATGTATATATATATAAGGTTAGTGATCAATATTATATAATATAACAAGAAATAATGGAAATAGTTGTACCGACCTCAACAGAATGGTAGGCTCTATAGCCACTTTCAGTAGGAAGGAAGCCTAGAAGTTGGCCGTTGCATGCATGCATGGAAAGACACAGAAGAAGCATAAGAACAATTGGAGACATAATTATGAATGACAGAGATTATGATCTGAACGTTTTGAAGTCACAAACAGAATTCACGATAGATCGATCAATCGATCGATGGGAGTAAAGGAAATATAAGTACTGAGTCGTTTGTAGATGTGAGTGAATGGAAATGTTAGGTTTGCATAGTATTTGTAGTGAAAGGGGAAGGAGGAGCAATAAATGCAGGTAGAGTATGGGACTAGAGACGTTCTTAAAGAGAACATGTGGGTGTTTGGGTGATGAACGTCTAAAACTAAACTCAAGAGACATTGAGGCCTCCCTTGTCCCCTTCATCTCTCACTTTTTAATCAATTTGAGGGCCCCTAAAAAGCTCAGAAGCATGATATAGAGAGCTAATAACATATCTGGTGCATACATAATGCCTGGAAATAGATATTGAGAGAGTAAAACGTTATTTCCAAATCCATCGCACATTGTATAATTAAGGTTGTATATGTAAATGAGGTGAGACCTACTTACGTAGGTGGACTTCAATTTTACTAGAGGCGTGATTTACTCTTATGATCACTATGAGTAGTTGCAAGTGGCCCTCTACCACAATGACGGAGAGGAGCGTTGCTCTTGCACCATGGCGTAAGTTCAAACCCCGTCGGTTTCCTAATCTAACACATAATTTAACAAATCTATTGTTTGACAAAAGAAGAAAAAAAAGATCACTATGACTGGTTGTGGTGCATTAATTGTCCATTTAGTTTATAGAACTTTACTTTCAATGTGGATAATTAGATTATCTTTAATTTATTTGATTTTTCTTATTATTTTAAAAATGATATGTAAATGATGATTAAGAAAATTAACTGTTCTAATTATAATATTTGTATGATGAAGATACGTTAATCACAATTAAGTTGACAATGAAGAATCAATGAGTTGGACACAAGTATTGTCCAATAATTAATCTCATGGATCGAGTAATTTTAATACCTATTGAGGTATGTAAACATGAAGTTTGTTTTTTCTTGATGCGAGTGATGGTAGGGAAGAGGCAAAGGGATTTAAACACAAAAACTTAGATGTAAGTATAAATACTTTTAACCAATTGAGTTATAATCTCATTCAAATGAAGTTAAAATGACTGCTTTTTTATAAGAAAGTTATGTGAACGTGTAAATTAAGTGTAGAAGAAGTTGAATGGTACCAAAAAATAAGTTGAATAGGACCCATGACATGAGTGGAGTGGGAGGTAGGGACATGGGGATGAAGGAGGCAAAGGAGCATGGCAAAACCGTCACATGCAGCTCCTTTGTAGACATGGAAAGGTCCACCTTCCCCCACCAACGTCCGTATTTAGTATGCACTCTATGTGGCATATACTCCATGTGCCTGGCACTTGGTTTTTCTTCCACATCACCGTCTTAGCCAATTTGGTTTGAATAGGAAATAATTTCAGCACTTTTTTTTTTTAACATTTTGTTTAATTATGTTCTTTGATTCATGTTGTCTTCTTTGTATTCATGTTTGTCTTAAAATTTGAAAGAAATGAACTGAAATTACTTTCATTTGGAATTTGATTTTTATTTGGTTGTCTCATGCTGCATGGTTTCAATAGGATGACAAAAAACACCACAGATTTTGGTATCCGTGGATACCCAACCCTAAGGGACGGTTAATGGAGGACAATAAACGGGCATTGAGTGGGTTTGGAGATTTTGAAAAAAAAATTTGAGTCGGAAATGGAGCGCTGATGGTATTTCCGACCCCCGACCCAATTATATATGTATGTATATGTATATATGTGTATATATATATATATATATATATATTAATACTAGCCTCTCCGCATGCACTAACGTACGTGCGAGAGACATTTTTGTATCACGGGTGCTACGTGCCCCTAAAGGTGTATTGTATTATTATTTTTCATTGTAATTGTTAAGATATATTTTAAATGTATTGTGCAAAGAGAAACTTTTTCTTTATTAGGCATGTCCTAAAAAGTTGTCAAGTTTTTCGTTTTCACTTTGCGTAAAGTAACGATTTAAATGTTATTCATACAATTGTCAAACAACATGGGATTTTGGATGCAAGTTCCTACCTAAAGTTCATGAACAATAGTAGATGTAAATAAAAAAAGTTCATGAACAATAGTAGATGTAAATAAAAAAAGAGAAGATGAAAACATTAAGTAGCTCTTCTCTGCACTAATATTAATATGCAAGTTACTGTTATTGCATATATTTTTTCCTCATGTTATCTTTTCTTTTGTCAAAAAAAATAATGCATTCTCTTTCTTTTTTGGGTTTATGTAGGAGTATGAACAAAAAAATCAAGTGGATTTCATCAAATCAAAAATGGACACAACTGATAGGAACAATAATTTAGTTTTACATAATGAATATCTCTAGTTAATCGCTAAAAGTGCAAAAAGTTACGTTCATTAGTATCCTGAACTAATAGTTACATTTCAATAGAACTAATTAGTTATATATATTTCTTGATATGAAAAGGAGATGGCCATTGAAAAACATCAAATGTTCATGAGGGCGCACGTTTCCATTTTTCTTAAGTTCTTATATAAAATCCCCATGAGGGCATTGACAATTAGATGCAGCTTCAATCCTCAATCCTCAACCAATTAAAATTAAACAATTAGATGCAGCTTTAATTCTCAATCATCATCGTCTGCAATCCCCATCTTCTTCTTCAAACACGGCGACCACGACTACCCTTCTCCACTCACACCACCATCAGGACATGGCATGCATAACCCATGTTTTTTATTCTCCATGCTGCTATATAAAACAAAAATGGATGAAAGATACAGCAAGTTCTTATATAATTGTCAGTGCTCTCATGGGGATTTTGCTCGTGAGCTCCAATGTTTCCGTATGGAAAAATTTATAGTTTCAGATGCAATTTCCTCGATTATAAGAACTGTGGAAAAAATTTGCGATGATAGCTTTCAAAAGGCTCTAAATGCTCTTGCTCCCCCTACCGACAATGCTAAGAAGAAGGACAATGGCAAGTGGCATAAGGGTTTGATCATGGGCAAGGCTGCTGAGGAAAGTGATATCTTCAAGATGGTCAAAATGATAATTCAGCGTCCCTGTTATACTTTTTAGCTTTCATTATTACATTTTCCTGATGGTGGTGTGAGCGGCATTTTTGCCCTTATGTTCAGAAACTTGAGTAAAATCCCCATATTTCTGATTCACCCACAAAATTAAAATTAAAACAAAAATGTAAAAACCTGCAATTTTACAATTTTGTTTAATCACTTAAGAAATGAATTACCATTTTGATCATTTGCATGTCAATTATGGTAAAAGGTCACTTGCCACTTCATGGACATTTTATTTTATGCTTTTCACATGCATTGAATGAAATTGACATGCAACTACGCAACCTACATATTTAGGATAGTCATTACACAAACTCAATATATGTGAGATCAAGTTCATTTGAAATCATGGAAGATCAGGACCCAATTAACACAAAAAAGCATTAAACTATTCAAACAAAGAGCTTGAACCAAGTAGCAGCATGTAGATAAAAGCCCACAGATGCAAAAATTGAGTAGTTAAACAAAAACTCAAACTGAAAAAGGACAGGAAAAAATTGAAAGCAGAAACTTATAACCTAAACGTAAAATTAAGATTAAGAGCACAGTTGACAAACTCTCCCTCCAAATCTCCACCCAGTCAAATCGTGGACCTTTGCAAAATCTTCATCAATTGATTTTCATTGTAGCCCCTACTTGTCGATGTTTTCAATTGTTGGAGGTTGAAGTTTGACAATTTTTTTCCTATGTTCTTTATTTTCGGTTTTCATTTTCTCTCCGCTTCCGCCAAAATGCTTCCATATGCACATTGTCGTCCTTCCGCCATGCTTGCCACCCATTTGCTTGCACTTGATGCTTTAGATTTTCATGGTTAATCTGCAAGCAATGATGATAAAATAAGAAGTCTAACTGATTAAGATGTGAATAATGCACTATAATGCACAATCCCAAATATAAAGGTCATAAGCAATTTAACCTAAATACCTTTAACTTTGTTAATTTTCCCATAGCAATACTTTTACTCCAGTTACTTTTAGAATACTGAAAGATAAATATATTGTCAAGTTTGAGGTAACAAATTGTAATCATGTTTACAAAATTAAATAGTAAGAAATGTTACCTTAATCGTGTACTTCAACCTCTGTATTTTGAGACGGGTGTGATGCTTGTAAAACTGATAGAAAAATGCAATTTTATATCTATTTGAAAATTGAATGCAATTTGAATTTATAGTATACATTCATATGAAAATAAGAGAAGAGTTACTGTATTTAGAAAAGTTGTTTGATCACTATTAATCTTTTTCCTGCACCCATAAATTGTTTTTTTTTTAATTTTTTTAATTTGAGATAATTAATTTGTAGAATGATATGGAGAATGCAATTAAAAATAAATAGGTAAGAAATGGTGTTGGTACCTAATTTTTTGGACTTTATTCCAAATGCGTATGATGTGAGGAGTTGTTGAAGGTTTTAATTCTTCTAAAGCCTTTTTCATGCGCCACCTATATATTAAAAGTATATATAATGATAGATTTTTTATAACAAATTTAATAAAGAATTTAGAATACATATTGCTCATGCTTCTTTTTTTTCCACTCTTTTACTCCGACAGGTATCTCCCAACCAGGTGTAAAAATAGAAACACGTCTATTTGGGATCTTATCAATAGGTTGTTCCTTCTTCATTTTTTGTGGGTATTCTTGTAAATATCCTGAGAATGAAAACAAATAAATTTTTAAATGGGATATGTCATCGGCCAATGTAAACTCAGCAGTCTCACACACACACACACATGTCATCACTATACAAACATCTCACGCAAGGGCAGGGCTAACAATTTCTACAAACATAACTTTCTAGGGCCATAATCACATTTCTCTAAAACATTAGCTAAACCAAACATAACCATTATCGTCATCGTCATTAGCAACAGCCACCAAATTACATGACAGTCAATCAGCCAAAAATTACCACAAAATTAAAAACTAAAGCAGGTTTAATCCAACCAACAATTCATCAAATCAAATCCACCATAGAACACGCAATGCACCATAAATTCACACAAAGAGCTTGCAAATACGATCAAAAGTTTCAGAATTCATGCAATAACACGCCAAATAAAGCTAAAGATTA